ATCAGGTATCAGGTAGCAAAATCTCCCAACAGTATCGAAGTGAATGAGGTGGGTTGGAGTGGAGACCCATAGCTCATCTGGACAATTGGCTATCCCCCCACAGAAGGGTTGTAAAGAAGGCATGATTCAACCAAGGTGCAGTATAACACTGATGAATAACCACATTCCTCTAGTCCCTGACTACCTCCCCTCTCCCCCTGTCCCCACTCCCATGACCGAGTTCTACCTTACAAATCTGCTAGACTGGAGAACACACATTCGTACAGATAAGAGCTCACGACACATGGAATTCAGGACAGATAAACCCCTCAGGTACAGTAGTGGGAGTAGCCATATCATGAGGGGTAGGGATATGGTCAGGGGGGAGGAAGGGTGAGAAAAGGGGAAACCATCACAAAGGATATATAGCCTGCCCCCCAAAGGGGACGAATAACAGAAATGTGGGTGAAGGGAGACAACGGACAGTGTAAGCTAAGAAATAATAATAACAATATATAATTGATCAAGGATTCACCAGGATGGGAGGGAGGTCGGGAGGAGAAAAAAGAGGAGATTATACCAAGGGCTCAAGTAGAAAGGAACTGTTTTGGAAATGATGATGCAGCATATGTAAAAGTACCCTAGATTCGCTTGATGTATGGAATGTTGTATGAGCCCCAATAAATGATTTAAAAACAAACAAAACTTTCAGATCTCTTAGATGTAATAATTTTCTTAAATGAAAATTAGCTTCCAAAATAAAGATGCCCAAGTTAAGCACCGACAAAAAAATTGATATTTCTGATTCCATATTTTAAGTCTTATGTTGTTAAAGGAATAATTGGGGTGGCAGTGTACAGTCCTGGCACCCCTCTTGATTTTAAACCATGTCTTATCATTGTTCTGTTAAAACAGCTTCTTCTTGGTCTCTGTATAGGTTTTGCAGGATTTCAATGGGGGGTTTGGAATTCCCATTCTTTACAATGTTACCTATAGTTTGTTATGACTCATACTGTTGAATGCTTTTATATAGTCAATAAAACACAAATAACTCTTTGGTCTTCTCTGCTTTTAGTCAAGATCCATCTGAGGTTAGCTATGATAGCCGTAGTCCTTGTCTTCTGAATCCAGCTTAAATTTCTGTTACCTGGCAATTGGATAACCCCTCACAGAGGGTCACAAGGAAGGGACCAGCCAGTCAGGGTGCAGCCTAGCACCAAGGAAACAAACAGCATTCCTCTCGTTCTTTACTGCTTGCTCTCCCCTACTGTCATGGCTCCCGTTCTCCTGTATGAATCTGGCTAAACCACAGCATATGAATGCGTCCAGATAAGAGCTCTAGACACCCAGAATCCAGGACAGATAAAACCCTCAGGGACACACACACACACACACACACACACACACACACACACACAACAAAAACAAAAACACCTCAGGAACAGTAATGGGAATAGCGATATCATGAGGGTAGGGAGAAGGGGGTGGGGGAGGAGAAAGGGGGCCTGGATCACAATGATCAATGTATCATACCCCTTCTCCAGGGGGATGAGCAACAGAAACATGGGTGAAGGGAGGAGACAGCAGATGGTGCAAGATATGAAAATAATAAGAATTTATCATTTATTAAGGGTTCACCAGGGAGGGAGGGAAAAAAGAGGAGCTGATACCAAGGGCTCAAGTAGAAAGAAAATGCTTTGAGAATGATGGTGGCAGCATATGCACAAACATGGCTGATGCAATCGATGTCTGCATTGTTGTAAGAGGTACATACCCCAATAAAATGATTTTTTAAGAAAACCTACAGGGCAGTACTAATCTTTTAAAAATAAAAATAAAGTTTGGATACCTTCCGGTCTATGAAATGCTATAGCCATTTTAAAAATTGCCTGCTATAAAACTTGATTTGCATGTGCTTTTAATGATACTGTTTAATAATTGCAACATTCTTTTGGGGTACCATTCTCTGGAATAGTTACAAATCCTGAGCTCCCCTAAGGCAGCCTGTTCTATAGCTGTCTTCCACTTATTTTGGCATAGACCAATGAATGCTTCCGGTGCCACATTTTCTTGTTGAAACAGTTCAATTGATACTCAATTTCTAGTGCTTTGATTTTTACTAATGCCCTCAGGCAGGTTGGACTTCTTCCTTTAAGAGAATTTTGACCAATTCTTTTTCGTACAATTCTGTGTGTTCCTTTTAACTTCTCTTGATGCCATTTAGGGTTTCCCTAGGGTCCTTCAACATTGCAGTGCAAGGCTTCATTTTGTTTTTTCTTCAGTTTTTTCTTCTTGAGACATGCTGCACGTGTAGGTTTGTTTTCCTGTGGACCTTGTATGTTTGGGTTGAATTCTAGTTCGTGTTGTCATGTGTGTTAAACTCAGCTTGTTATTTGCTGCTGTTCGTTCTGTCTAAAGAGCTCCTCTTGGTATTTTTTGTAAGGTTGCTCTGGTTTTTACGAATTCCTGTAATTCCCGTTTATCTGGACATATCCTCATTTAGCTGTTGTATTTGAGTGACGTAAGTCCTTAGGAATCAGAACTGACGCCATGGCAGGAAGTTTGGTTTGGGTTTATATCATTCTTGGTTGGAGATTTTCTCTTTCAGATTTTTACATATTCCGTCCCATTGCCTTCTTGTGTGATTTCTGCTGCGAAATCAGAGCCTCATGTTAGTAGTTGCCCTTTGTTGGTAACTTTGTATCTTGTCGGTTGCTCTGATTGTTTTCGAGTTTACGTTATGGGGATTTTCTTTGGGGACCTTTACTTCCTGGGGTTTGTTCAGCTCCAAGAACGCATAGCTTCTTGTTTTTAATCATGTTAGGAAACTTGCTTTGTGCTTGTTTTACTTCCTATTTTCGAATCCCCGTCACCTGAAATTACTTCTCTTGAATGTGTACCTCCTAAGTCTTAGTCTTCTTCGGATTTTTGTTTTTATCTTCTAAAAAAGTATTCCTCTAGCAGTGTAATATTAACAGGTTTATCTTTAAGCTTACTAATTAGGCCTTCCACTTGTTCAGTTCTGCTCCTCTGCTTTTTGATACCGTATGTATTTCTGAGATCTTACTATTTACCTGGATTTTTGTTTATCTAATTTTTCATTATTTTGTCAGTTTGTTTCAGTGTTTTTTTTAATTCTTTAATTCTTCTGAACGTTTATTGTGTTTTCCATGGTTTTGCCTTTCTTTGTCTACATCCGGTGAACCTATTTATAAACCTTTTGAATTCTTTATCAGGTAGTTCCAATATTTTTCTTTCTGAGAAAGGTCTTCTGGCTTTGTGTAATGATCCTGTGTCTGAACGCTCTGTCACCGTTGCTTCATGTGAACTGAAATTGCCTGTTGTCTTAGAGACAAGGTGGTTTTATTGTATTTAATTACTCTTGTATGTTGATAAACATAGCCATTCGCTACATGTGTATTAGTGGGTGAAATCAAGAGTTTGACTACGTGTCCAGTGTGTTTTCTGTTTGAATAATAGCACTTCGGAGCCCCTTTGGCTGGTGTTTGTTTATTCTGGCGTTTGGCTGTTAGGGTTCAGATAGTGTAGAAGTGGGGAGTGGCCCTCGGCCAGTTGCAGGAGGTGCAGATGAGTCTGGAGGGAAGGTGGGCACAGTTACCGTCTCCTGCTGGATGGGTAAAGAAAGAGAAAAGACTTTGAAAAATGAAGTAGCTAAAACAAACAAACAAACAAATAAAAATGAAAGAAAAGTTTATACTTATAAACACATAGGAGAAAGGTAGTAATTATAGCAAGAAACAGTAATAACTGACGAATAAAGTAAAAGGAAGGAACGTGAAAACACAGTAGAGAGAAAGCACACACAGAAGGTAGTACTAGGGAGGGTAGCACAGAGGAGGGGAGAGAAAAGTGGATGGGGAAGAGAAAAAGTAAGAGTCAATAAAAGCAGGAAAGGATAAAAGAAAGGAAACGGAAGAATGAGAAAAAGAAAGCCGAGGAATAACGGAGAGAATGACCAGGAAGGCAAAGGACGGCTGAGAGCCCAGCCAGGCTGAGAGTCTGGGGAGGACACAGTTCCTGGCTGACTACGGGCCATTCATGGTCGTGAAGAAAACAGCCAGTGGTGAGGCCAGGCCTGGGCTCTTTTCTCTGAGTGCTCCCTGTCATACTGAGATGAAGAAACCATTTTCTTTCTTTTAAAGAAATCATTTTATTGGGGGCTCATACAACTGTTATCACAATCCATACATCCATCCATTGTATGTCAAGCACATTTGTACATTCGTTGTCATCATTCTCAAAACATCTGCTTTCTACTTGAGCCCTTGGTATCAGCTCATTTTCCCCCTCCCTCATGAACCCTTGATAATTTATAAATTATTATTTTGTTGTGTCTTCCACTGTCCGATGTCTCCCTTCACCCACTTTTCTGTTGTCTATACCCCAGGGAGGAGGTATATGTAGATCCCTGTAATCAGTTCCCTCTTTCTACCTCACCTTCCCTCCAGCCTCTGGTATCGCCACTCTCAGTACTGGTCCTTAAGGGATCATCCGTCCTGGATTCCCTGTGTTTCCAGTTGCTATCTGTGCCAGTGTACATCCTCCGGTCTAGCCAGACTTGTGAGGTAGAATTGGGATCATGATGGTTGGGGTGGGGGTGGGGGTGGGGAGAGGAAGCATTTAGGAACTAGAGGAAAGTTGTATGTTTCATCGTTCTATACTGCACCCTGACTGGCTTCTCTTCTCCTCGCCACCCTTCTGTAAGGCCATGTGCAGTTGCCTACAGCACTCCCCCTCATTTACAGTGATATGATTTTTTTGTTCTTTGATGCCTGATACCACATCCCTTCAGCACCTTGTGATCACACGGGCTGGTGTACTTCTTCCATGTGGGCTTTGTTGCTTCTCAGCTAGATGGTCACTTGCTTACCTGCAAGCCTTTAAGACCCCAGATGCTATAGAAGAAACCATTTTTCAATGGTTCTTGAGAACACACTTCCATTGTGGGTAAAATTAGGGATTTCTTAGAAGCTCAGCACAGTTTATCTTTCCATTTCTAGGGTGCTTGGACATTAATTCGTCGGTGAAAGGGGCTCGTTTTGTCCGGTTCTGTGATGCATTCAACATTCCACTGATCACTTTTGTTGATGTCCCTGGATTTCTGCCTGGTGAGTCACTGAAGTGGGGAGCAGCACAGGGTGATCTGCCCAATAAGGCACCTACTTTATGTAGAGATCTTCCTGCAGAATTTCTGAAGAATTTGTGACTTCTCCATGTGCTGGGTTTCCAGGAAGCAGGGCTTTGTGAGTGCTGATCGTGCCCTGGTCATTCAGGGTAGCAAGAGAAGACCTAACTGAAGGACGGACAACCCTCATGAGAACTTTTGTGGGTACTTATAACTCTCCCTTGTGATCTAGGCACAGCACAGGAATATGGGGGCATCATCAGGCATGGTGCCAAGCTACTCTACGCATTTGCTGAAGCAACTGTCCCCAAGGTCACAATCATCACCAGGAAGGTAAGCAACCCAGTTTTGAGACACTGGAGCTCTGTCTTCCTGGAACATGCCATGGTTACAGGTCTGGTAAGGAGTTTCACTAAGGCTAGAACGGTGGTTTTCAACCTGTGGGTTACGACTCCTTTGTGGCTCGAACGACCCTTTCACAATTTTATGGTTGAAGTTATGCTGTCCACATGTCCATAGTCTTTTTATCTCAAGGGAGGAACAGAAAGAAATGGGAAAAAATCGGAAAAGGCAATAAGGATCACTGTGGATGACCTTGGAGTTATCCTCATATATTTTCTGAACTCGCTCCCTGGTGTTGTAGAGGATGGTTCTTATTCTTTGTTCCCATTTCTTGACTTCTTTGAATTTGTTGGGGGCCGAAAGAAACTGGTTGTCTTCGGGTCTAACATGTAGAATGGATTTCTTGAATAGGCCTATGGAGGCGCCTATGATGTCATGAGCTCCAAACACCTGTGTGGTGACACCAACTATGCCTGGCCCACAGCAGAGATTGCCGTCATGGGAGCAAAGGTGAGGACCTCCTGCTTTCTGCTTCCTGAGCCCAGGGATGGACGCTCCTGGGAGGAGCTTAAAATGCAGTTGGAAAATATTAGACAGAGGCCAGAGCCCTGGTATGGGGCAAGACCCTCTAGGCTGTGACCATATCCTTCCTGAGGCCAGCTCTCCCTCAGCTTTGTCTTAGGCTCTCGCTTCAGGTAAATATTGATGGACAGGCGAAATGAGCGCAAAGAGGGTGTTAAAGGCCCACAGTGGGTTGTAAGATCGTGAAGGGAAGAGAATTGGATTAGCTGAGCCAGTTCCTAGGAGGATTGGACATTTCCCCCAACTCCACTTCAGCCCCCAGGGGCAGCTTTGCAGCACACACGTTGAACTATAGCTCTAGGTATTTCTTGGTATGCCCGAGTCTCACTCCTTTCCTATTTTGAGATGGCTTTGAGCAGTTCTAACTTGAAGGCCTATTTTTTTAGCCTCATCTAGTAGACCAAGCATTTGCAGTTTGGTCTGTCCTCTGGTGAATGAAATAAAAGCCCAAGATAATGAAAAACAGCACGCTTACGTTCCTTGATGCAGGGGCCATGGAGCGAATAGAGGATAATCAGAGGAAGAATGGGTGCAAAAGGGTAGAGTGGAATCTTGGCGAGAAGTTGAGTGGCCCCATCTTTGCTTGCGCTACCACTCTGGGAGGGACAGTTGAGTGCCCCATCAACTGGTCTGGGGTCATGATGGTTGGCCCTGGTCAGTACATGCCTCTGTGCTGTTTCCTGGATCCAGCACTTTGTTCTACTCCTAGTAGTTATAGGTCTCACAAACTCACAGGGCAGGGGCCACTTCTACCCTGTCCTATTGGGTCATGAATCAGTGTCGATTAGATGGTGGTGAGTTTGGCTTGTTGTCGATTGACGAAGTTCACAACTACAATGTTTTGACCAAGAAGTTTGCAATCGTACTCAAGTGACAATGAGGTGGAGGTTTGCCTGGTTTGGACCGTCCAGTGAAGTTTGGCGATTCCTCTCGTGACAGGGTGCTGTGGAAATCATCTTTAAAGGGCACGAGAATGTGGAGGCTGCTCAGGCAGAATACATCGAGAAGTTTGCCAACCCTTTTCCGGCAGCAGTGAGAGGTAGGGGCACAGTGGGAGGGCCACTTTGTTGATTTGCTTACACATTCTTTTACTTTGGTCTCATGCACCTTCATCTTGTTTTTCTTTAAGCAACAGCATTACTGACATGACTGTTTCTAGGTGTTGCAGTTATCCAGTGCTATGCAAAAACCAGTCAACCTTTGTGACTTAAAATAATCACTTGTTACAGATGCAGTTAGGTTAAATTTGATCTCCCTTTATAAGTCATTTAAATTTGTTCGTTTTTAATATTTTCTTTTTCAATTAAAGCTTTTGTTTTACTTAAAAAAAATGTTTTCCTGTTTATGAAATCCAGGACAGGAAAATCTAGACAGTAACTGGATTAATGGTTTCTTGGGGCGGGGGGGAGGGCGGTTGGATTGGAGATAGCAGGGGAGGTAGTGGGGAAATGGGGAACTAATTAACGAGTACAAGAATGAAGAAAATGCTCTAAAACTTGTGATGATTGTACAACTCTTCTTGATGTGGTTGGACCACTGAATTGGATGTTACGTAAATTACATGCTAATAAAACTTTATGGGTAGTGACATATTACTAAACACTTTTTTGGCATTGATCTGGGCTTAGCTGGCTGGTGGTTGATTTGATTGGGGTTGGATGTTTCAAGTTGGCCTCCTGTGTACGGCTTGTACTGCCTGTCAGCTGGATTCCTCTCCACTTGGCCTTCCAATCTTAAAGCAGAAAGGTGGTGGAGGGGAAACCGCAAGGCCCTCTGAATGCTCATTCTTTACCGTTTCTCTTAGCCAAAGTTAGTCATAAAGTCAGAAAATAGAGGCTCTGCCTCTTGGTGGGAGGAGTGATTATAGATGGATTTGTGTCGAGAGAGGAAATTGTAGTCATTTAAAAAATACAGGTATGTTTTGTTAATTTTGTTTTCTGTTGAATTCACTTTAGCATGCTGGAGGCATTGAATAGGAGTAACTTAGCTTTTTTGGTCAAGTGGTCCGAGAGCAGAAAGAGTGATCTGCCAGAATAGGCTTGTTCCTGGGAAGAAGGGTCCTGCCCATTATGCCACGGTGGGCGGTGCTTATATTCTTGGCCCTGGGATGGTGCCCAAGGCTCAGCATAAGGGTGGGGAAGGGGGATCATCTAGGGCTGTGCAGATAACCCACCTCCTCGTCTGTTCTTTGCCAGGGTTTGTCGATGACATTATCCAACCTTCTTCCACCCGTGTGCGGATCTGCAGTGACTTAGATGTCTTGGCCAGCAAGAAGGTGCAACGTCCTTGGAGGAAACATGCAAATATTCCACTGTGAACACTCTTAAGAAAATGAATGTGGACTAAATTACTGCCTGGCCATTTATGCTCCATTCCTACCTTTTGCAATCATGAACCTGGGAATCTAAATACCAGTAAAAACTTGAAATGACTAAATTTATTAAATTCTAGAAAGGTCACTTTTGTACCTTACTGTAAAATCATGTACTTTATTAAAAAATGTAATTGATCCTTTTAACGATATATTTCATTTTTATGATAGAAATGGGAAAAATAGAAGTCTAGAAAGGAACCGGTATGTAGTCAGCTCACCTAGAGCTGCCCTTATTTACTGACATGGCTCTCCCCTCCAGAACACTGCCAAGCCCATGCTGTGTGCCTTTTACAGTAATGAGGCCTGCCACGAGTGACGAGAGAAAGCCTAGTTTCTGTAGCTGTGCATATCCATAATGTCTTCAAAGGCCCACTCCTATGGGGCAACCACACAATCAGCTCAGGGTCTCGAGCTCAGTAGGACCCAGCGGATGTTTCCTCAAAGTATATCCAAACTCAGCCGGTGAATCACAGCCTACCTCTTCCCTTATGCTCTAGGGAATTCCAAGGAATAAGAGAAAGTTGACGAGCTATTTCTAACTTTCTGCTATCTTAAGCAAAATCCTGGCTCAATTCACATGGTTGGCAGTTTGAAACCAGCAGCAGCTCCGTGGGAGAAAGACTGGGTTTTTTACTACTGTCAACAGGTTCAGTCTCTGAAACCCACAGAGGGGCACACTGACTCAATGGTAGTCAAGTTTTTTGTTTTAAGCAAAAATCCTTACTGACACAGAAATCTTCCCATCATTTTAATAAATTATCAGGAAAGACAAACTCTCCCAGGAGTAGCAGGGCAATAGGATGACTGCCACACACCTGATTTTGCACAGTTTATTAAAGGAAAGATGAAGCATCAGTTTCAAATTGTACAAAAGGAAAAAAACCTCATATTGCAAATGTACAATTTACAGAATTACTAGCAAAACCAATCAAGGAGACACTGAAAATACAAAATTGATTGACTCAAACTGAACTGGAAACCCATTGGAGTAGATTTTAAGCCTTTTTTGTGTGGTACGGTGGTCTGTGATTCTAAGTCAGCATTGTTTTCCACATGAGGCTGTGCCCGGAGACTGGCTGCGTGGCATGCTGCCTGGCCAGAGCCCCAGGCAGGGCTGCAGGGGCCGGCAGTCCAGTCATCCCTGACCGGTCTCTTCCAGCGGAGCCCCCACTTCTGGAAGAAAGTGACACCCCGGCCCCTTAACTGGTGCCCAGGCATGATGGATTTAACACACTAACATTTGTTGGCGACCAAGTTTGTGTTTTTTTTTTTCCAGAACTGTACAAATATTGAGAAAAATCTGTTGTTGGTTTACTAAAGGATGAATAAAATTATCAATTTTGCTTTCCCTGACAAAAGGTAATCATATGAGTGTACAGATTTTAAAAAAATGCTTTTCATTTTTGGTAGAAAGAGAAAGCCTCGTGATTCTGTTGCAACTACTTTAAAAACCAGCCCCAAACAGCTGTAGATGGATGGGTTTGGACAATCTGAGGCTCACTTTACACATCAGACAAGGAGGGACTAAGCAGACTCAAAAATAATAGCAGCAAGTCAGTCCTAAGTCTTCGGAGACTGTAACTCAACCACTGGAGACCGTCTGAAGATCCGTAATTTCTTCCCCCAAAGAATTATTCATAATATGCACATTTAACACTGAGATGTAGCTGTATTTTAAGGTAAGCATTAAACTTCACCCTCTAAGCACAGACTTCTATGCAGCACATACTTCTATAATTGGTAAAATTAACTCACAAAATCAGCATAAAAGGTTATCGAGTGCATGGAAAGTAGACACATTTATGTTACACTTAAAATTACTTTTGAATGGAAAAGTGATTTAATTTTGGATTTCTTCATGATCATCTTAAGAAAATGGAAGTCTGTAATTTGAATTTGGCAGGGCATAAAACAAGTGGTAAAAATAGCAAACTGATAACTTGAGAACCGTTTTGTTTTACTGAGAATACTTTATTTGCTGGTAGAAGTTGCTAAAAATGCACAGAACAAATACCAATAGAAAATGTACTGTATTTGACTCTCCCTGTTCTATATAAAATGAATGGTGCACAGCATCTGTTGGAAAAATGGCTGCATGGGGCATCTTTTATTTTATGCCCTTTATAAATAAAAATAAACCTTTTTATTCAAGAGTATATAAAATCTGGGCATTATATCATATCCACAGAGGGTTTGTGGTTTTGGCAGAGATGCACTATGTCAGAACATTCTCTTCACTGATCCAGCGTCTGCTCCACGTTTCTGTGCTCCACAAGGTCAACCAAATCCAGTGAGCTCCACAACACTCTTCAGCAATTAAGATGAGCTGTGTACTCGTAGGTTTAATAAAAATGGTTAGCTCTTAAAACATAAAAAGGCAAAATGTTAAAACGGTTTTTAAATTGTACAACAGGAAAATAAAGTTAAAAATATTTTTTTTTTTACTCAGTGCTGAGTTTTCATAAAACAGGTGTATAACAGTGTTTATCTTGACAGCTGTTTTTAAAAATTTAAAATTTCTTCCTCCCTCCAGAAAAACACACTCATCTGTATTTGGGGTAAGTCCAAAGTGAGGACACAAATGATTTTCCAGGTCAGTCATCGGAGGTGACGATCGCCAGTACTCCCTTGCATACATGCCCTTTTCTCTGTCACTGCAAAAAGGGACTGACCTCTATCATTTGATTAAAAAACAAATAGATCACATCAAAAGTGTTTTTTCCCCATCCAAGCTATCACAGTATATAGGCCTCTAGCTCTAAATAATAGAGTTCCAGATTTGTAAAATTTCTTCAGACTTCAGAACATAGGCATTCCAAATCCCTAGGAAGATGAGAAATAATGATTAATTTCATGCATGCAGAAGACTAAGAAACCACCGATTAAAAACAGTAACGAGGTAACATTTACTGAGTCATCTTCTATGATAGCTGCGGAGTCAAAGAAGTCTGGCCTCAGCTCGGCTCGCTCCCGCCGGTTCCGTGAAGGGGGCTACAATGAGAAGGCAGGTGCTTTATTACTCTCCTGAGACACAGTATCACAGCGACACACAACGTTTAGGGTGGACTTAAGAAAAATTTAACAGTGCTTTCGGATATTTTCATTTAGATTAAAACAACTTCACATGTAAATAAATATAAATAACTTGGGGGCCTATAGACATATATCTTCCATTTTAAATTATGGAGCAGTTAAACTTATCACATATGAGGGCTCCGAGTAAACTCCCCCAGTTCTACTGGCTGTGGGGGTAGTAGGGTGACCAGAAAGGTGATGGATTGAATGACTTCATTTACATTTCTTACAAATTTTTCATTATGTAAAATTTTAAAGCTACACAACAAGAGACAGTGCTATGATGACCTCTCCTCACCCAGTTTATTGTCAACATCTGCCAAACTACTAGCTCTCCTTGCTCATTGAGCTGCGTGTTTATCTTGTCATTTTACCTGTAACTATGTGACTGACAAACTTAAAAAAAACAAAACCACCCTGCCTTTACTATTCCTGACATACTGCGGAATCATTCCCTAGTATCGGTGTTGCTGTAGACCCCGTGGTGGCGGAGTGGTTACGGGGTGGGCTGCAAACCAGTGTCAGCAGTTCAAAACCACCAGGTTGGAAGAAAGATGGGCTTTCTAGTCTCTTCCATAGGATCACTCGGAGTTGGCATTGACTTGATGGCAGTTTAAATTTTTATTTTTAATTGCTGTTGAGTTAGCTGCACCTCATGCCGACAACCTTGTGTGGAACAGCGAACTGCTGCCTGGTCTTGTGCCGTCTTCACGACTGCTTACTTGAGTTCATCCTTGTGGTCACTGTTTCCATCCACCTCTGAGGGCTTCCCTCGTGTTCATTTGCTTCTATTTCAGCAACCACGAATTTCTAAACACCTGGTTTTTGACTGAAAATGTGTCCAAAACAAATGAACCGAATTGAGTCAGTCTTAGGATTTTAGCTTTTTAGGAATATTCTATTCAAATTTCTACTAAGATTGATTTACACATTCTTTTGGTGGGTGGTTCCTGGTATATTTACTCTTCTTTTCAACAGCCGCCTTCCATTGTCCATTCTCCACACTGCACATTCATAGGGGCTAAGTGAGAAAGGTGAAGGTCTCGGGCAGGCCACAGTCTGAGTGACAGCTTCACTGTTCTACGATTTAAAGAGGCCTTTGCAGATCTACCACTGAATATGTAATTCAATTTCTTGACTGCTGCTTCCATGAACAAGTTCCTTATCATTTACTACATATGCAAATTTTATTATCTCGCAGAATTTTTTTACAGAACATCTACCAGTTCAACATGCACAATACAGGGATATTAATCGCATTTAGATGATCAACGATTATCAATAATTGTACCTTTCCATCGAGATAAAAATTGAGTGCTGCCCAACGTCCCTATCATCTGAGTCTTTGTCACCTAAAATAGCACAATGACCGGCCCAGCAGCTGTTCTCACGAATTAAACCACTGATCTGTCTTGAGAAGACTTCAGGGCAATAGTTTGGGGTTCATCCTCTCACTCTGTGGCATGAGAAAGCCCCCATCTCCGAGAACAAGAAGTTCTGTTCTGCATTCCCCTGCTTTCGACCAGTACCCTGACACAGAGTCTTTGGTCAAATGCACCCCGGAGGCAGTCAGCCGTCATTTAGTTCTGGTCTCATAGCTGGGGAGGCATCTGTTCATGGAGGCAATTAACTCCACCTTCCTCCAGTTCCTAATGCCTCTTCTGGACGAGGCAAAGAAAGACCAATTGTGCCCTGGACGGCCGCCTGCAAGCTTTTAAGGCCCCAGGCAGTAATGAACTGAGGGAGAACAGAAGCTTTCTATATTTAACAGAAGAAAACCAATGACTTTCTTTACCAAATCGATAACCATGGTGTCTTCAAATTCTTCATTCATGTCTTCTAACTGGCTCCGGGATGACATCATCACGTCTTCAAAGATGGGCTCAGCATCGTCTTCCATTAGACCCCGACTGGGAAGGAAAAGTGCCAGAAAAAAAGCTGTTCAAACTCATCCAACTTGGAGTCCCAGCCCTTAGATACCAGCTTTTCTAACAGGCAGAAAGCACAGCTTCAGTCTACACAAATTACACTGAATGCCAAGATAATTAAAGGCAGTTCCTTCGATTTCT